GGCTGCCACTGCAGGTGTCCAGGAACCTGGGGCTCCTGGCAGTGGGGCTCAGGCAGGCCCCACTGGGGATGGCTGGGCAACCAACACCAAGGAGCAAAGAACTGATCCTGCAAAGAGCCAGAAGACGTCGCCCAAGAAGCTACCCAAGTCAGTGGGCAAGAGCCGTGGGCCCGGGGGCAGCTGTGAGTTCTGTGGGAAGCACTTTACCAACAGCAGCAACCTGACCGTGCACCGGCGCTCACACACGGGCGAGCGGCCCTACACCTGCGAGCTGTGCTCCTACTCCTGTGCCCAGAGCAGCAAGCTCAACCGCCACCGCCGCATGCACGGCCTGGGGCCTGGCAGCACCCGCTTCGAGTGTCCCCACTGCTGTGTGCCCTTTGGCCTGCGTGCCACGCTGGACAAACACCTGAGGCAGAAGCACCCAGAGGTGGGTGGGGAGGCCTGAACACGGGAGTGCCTGTCTTATGGTGTCCCTGGTCCCACTGTCAACTCATTCCACCTCCCTGTCCTTGCCCCCTTGTGCAAGTAAATCCTGTGGCCCCCCATTTACACAGGCGTCTGTGGACTCTGGCTTTTTTAGGGTGGCTGAGGTGGGGCGAGAGGTTTCCCCTGCTGGGGGTGGACAGCTCGACAGACCGGTTTGGAGTGAGGGGGTGAGGGGAAAGGCCAGCCCCCAGTGCCTGGGGCACAGCAGGACTGGCACAAAAAGCCGTGCTCCCGGTTCCTGGTGTGGGCGAGGCCAGGGCAGGGGCCGAGGCGAGGGCGGGGAGAGGCCTGGACCTGTTGCTGGAGGCCCCTGGGCGCTCTGAGTCCCAGCCCATCCTCCACAGGCTGGGCCCAGCCGGCACCTCATGTCCACAACTACAGGCTGACCTGGGTCCTCTTCCCACCAGAGTGTGACCCTGCCTCTGAGCAGGCCACACAGCCACTGTAGCCTGTCTGCCCTCCTCCCCTGGGCTGGAGGAAGAGTTTGATTACTGGGTTGCCATGTGGTCTAGGACAGGTCCTTCCACATAAGCTGCACCGGCACTGGGCCTGTCAGCCCAGCAAGCTCCCTGGCCTGCTGGCTGGTGAGCAAGGGGCTTTGAGTCCTGCACCAACCACAGATGACGCTGAAGTCTGGTGAAGGGAATTAAATAATGTTCGGTTTATTTAACTAGAGAGAAAACCAGATCACAGCTTAAGCCCCGTTCCCACCCCTTTCCCCCAGCCCCCAACTCCTCGGCCTAATGTCGGTAATGGGGACTTCTGGAGCGGGACCTTGAACGCCTGGAGAGAGAAAGAAGGGAGGAGCCCATCAGGATGAGATGGAAAGTGGGCTTCAGTGATGAGACAAAGCTGTGAGGGATACTGGGTGGGGATGGAGGAATTGGGGCCAGGGTCTCCCACCAAGGAAAGGAAGCACAGATGCCATTTCCCAGGGAGTTGGAGGATGGCCTTTGCTGGGCGGCCTTCCTTACCTTCGGGAAGAGCTGTATTCTCGACCTGGAACAGAAAGGGGAGATCAAGACAAAGTGATGCGCAGGGGCTGGCCCTGACCCTGCAGTGGGGTCCTCGAGGTCAGGCTAACTGGAGTGACACCAAGGCTTCCTTCCAGTGAGTCTGGTGGCCGCAACCAGCAGCTCTTGGCCCACAGCCTATGCTGGAAAGGGCCTTTTTTCCTAGTTCCTGCTACCACCTATACTACCGAGGATGCGGGCTGTCTTACTGAAGGCTAACCTAGAAACGTGTGGTAGCTTTTAGCAACCCTCTTCCTGCCCGAGCTCCCACAAGCCCCCACCAGGCCACTCACTGTATCGGGGCGAGGGCGAAGGCGAGCGGCTCTGCCGGCTGTACTGGCGTTCCCATTCCTCTCTCTCCTTCTCTCGACGTTCCCGCTCCCTGCGGGGGGAAGGGGGAGGCAACCAGGGGAGGGGTGAGCATCTCGCTGGGATCACCAACTCAAGAGGCAGGTGCTCTGAACAGGACGGTAAGCCTAGGGGCAGTCCATGCTAAGCCCACTTGGAGGCTCTGAGAGGGATGCTGGCCAGGAGTGTTGGACCAGACTTCCAGTATGCCTGGCCAGGCCTTTGCTGAGCAAACCCAAGGGAGGGCTAGCTGTTCCACCGGTTCTGGTCACAGCCCGGCCCGGCCCGTGTGCTCAGCTGGCCCCCAGGTAGGAAGAGTTTGCCAGTCTGAGAACACAGCAAAGGACGTGAGCTGGGAGGCCAGCACAGTGGCGGGAACTAAGTGCATGTAGGTGCATGTGCATAAGGAGAGGATCCATTAGCTGGCTGGGCGAGCCCTCAGAGCTCTGGCTAGGAGCTAGCAGTGGGAAGGCCAGTGGCTGAGGCTGTGGTCTGATACAGGGAGTGTCTTACTTCATCCGGATCTTGCGGGCCATGGCTCGAAGCTCATCTTCCCGCTCCTGCAGTGGAGATGACCAGGCTGTGAGGGTGTCGGCCAGCACCTGCCCAAGCCCCACCCCATCACTTCCCACCCTCACCTGGCGCTCATGCTCCTGCTGTATCATCTTTTCCTGAGCTGCCTTCTTATCCGCCTTGACTGCGGGGAGGAGGAAATGTGCTGGCTGAGGCTGAGCTCAGGGAGGTCACCCAGACTGCCTAGGCCCTGCGCATGCATGGCAGCAGCAAAGCTCCTGTAATCCCACCCCTTCCCACGGTGCCTCCAGGAAAGGGCAGGCCCCCTCTGGCTGGGGATGACAGAGAAGAGCTGGAGGGATGACGGAGACATACACTGCCTGTTCAGAGCCTTCTGCATCCTTAGCTTCAGCTTCTCCTGTGGCGTCAGCTTGGGCTGGGGAAGAGGAAAAGAGACAGGAGGGGGGTGGGTGTCCTGGAGCTCCCACAACCACCTCATCCAAGAGCCTGGGACTTGCAGGGTCACATGGGCAGACAGGCAGGCTGTGGGCACCTGCCATGAGGCTTCTGGGAGGCTCAGGGACAGCCTCGATGTCCAATAAGGGTGGGAGGGGGACATGGTTCCCACGGGGGCAGGCCCCCCACCCCCTCAATCCTGGGGGCTGGATTTCCTGGCCCACCCGGGCCCCCCTGCAGGCCCACCGGGCCCAGCTCTCGGGCACTGCTGCTGGCGGGAATTAGACGGGTGAGTTCCAAATTCTTACTGACTTTGGCAGCTCCTGTCTCTTTACCAGCGGCAGGCTCGGTCCTGTGTGGGAGTGGGACAAAAGGGTATGGATGGGGGAGAGAGGGCAGGGAGAGAGGGCAGCTGTGCCTCAGCCTCCCCAGACAGCAACCTCTCAGGACAGGTTCACAACCCGACAGAACCATGTTCCCCTCTGACCCAAGACAAGGACATACCCGCAGGTCCTCCAGGACACAGCTGTGTCCACCTCAGACTCCCAAAAGCAACAATGGAGCCCCCCCCTCCCACTTGGACTGACGACCCTCTTCCGGATCCAGCCCCGCTCACTTTTTCAGCTTCTCGCCCACAGCAGGGGACGCTGCCGGCCTGGTCAGCTTCTCCCTTGGGGGCGATGGCGACTGGCTCTGGCTCTGGCTCTGGCTGCGGCTGCGGCTGCGCGCTCCACTCCTGATGTG